AAGGATATCACTTACAGAAAAGAGGATGTTCTTAAGAAGATAAATAAATTAAAGATAAAATCCCCAGGGCCGGATAAAATTTTACATCGAGTTTTGAAAGAGGGTACGGAACAGATTAGCTGACCCCTCATAAATTTATTTACAAAATCATTAGACACGGGAGATGTGCCAGACTTGTGGAAACAGGCAAATGTAGTATCCATATTAAAAACGAGACAGCATCAGCATCAAATTACCGGCCGATCAGTTTGACGTAAGTAGTGGGAAAATTTCTTGAATCAATTATAGCAAATAGCATTCGATCGCATTTAAAGAAAAACAAATTAATCTACGACTCTCAACATGGATTTACAATAGGAAAATCTTGTCTAACAAATCTGCTAACGTTTTTTTAGGAAATTACGATGATATTTACTTAGACTTTAGCAAAGCATTTGACAGAGTACCACATCATAGGCTTCTGAGAAAAATTAAGGCTCATGGCATCGAGGGGAAAGTTCTAAATTGGATAAAATCGTGGCTCACCGATAGAACACAGGGGGTCAGCGTAGATGGTGTTAAATCTGAGTGGGGCTGTGTAACTAGTGGGGTTCCCCAGGGGTCAGTACTAGGCCCACTCTTGTTCATAATCTACGTAAACGATCTAGATACTGGGATCAGCAGTGACATAAGTAAGTTTGTGGATGACACCAAAATAGGGCGGCAGATTAATTCAGGGCAGGATGCAAATGCATTTCAGGAGGATTTAAATAAACTGCAGAAGTGGTCAGAAAAATGGCAAAAATTAAACACCAGCAAGTGCAGCGTACTTAATATCGGAAGAACAAATACTGTCAATGTATACAGCATTAACAATAGCAACCTAGAAAAGTCGACTTGTGAAAGAGACTTAGGGGTACTTGTAAGCTCGGACCTTCGGCCTAGAAAACAGTGCGTTAATGTTCGAAATAAGACAAACAGAGTATTAGATTTTATATCTAGAAGTGTAAGTAATAAGAGTGTGGAGGTCATATTGCAATTACATCTTGTGCTAGTCAGGCTGCACCTCGATTATGCTGTTTAGTTCTGGTTCCTTTATTATGTAATGGATATCAATTCACTGGAGTCGGTGCAATGAAGAAAGACGAAAATGATTCCGTGACTTGGAAACCTTCCATATCAAGATAGATTAAAGAATCTAAACTTGCATTCCCTAGAAAGGCGAAGAGTTTGGGGAGATATGATGGACGTATTTAAGTGGGTGAAAGAAATCAATAAAGGAGATATAGATAAAGTTCTTATAATATCCGAGCAGAATAGGACTCGTAGCAACGGATTTAAGTTGGATAAGTCTAGGTTTAGGAGGGAGATAGGAAGGAACTGGTTCACAAGCTTAGCAACTTTGTAGTAAGTGCTGGGACGCTGGAAAGTTGTAAAAGGAGGCTACATAGATTCATGGACTATAGAGAGTGGTTATAACTCTCGACAGGAGCTGCCATACACAGGCCAACCGGCCTATTGCAGACGCCTTATTTTCTTTATGTTCTTATGTTCTTTATCCTAAAACGTTCAATAGCTGTCTTGAACTTATCAAGGTGCTCCTCACTCCTACAACAGCCAATATCATTGCCTCCTGCAGATAATGGGTTTGTTCCCATTGCCAGACAAGATATTGTCCTTCCTGTCAACTATATCCCCCACCTCAGCTCCTGGCAAACACACTCGCATCCTATTTATATTATTAGCACAGAAAGCTTTATCCAGTTACTGTACCTGGGAATCACCAACAATCAAGACTTTTGTACATACCTTGTCAGCCCTGTCCCCGACTATGCTAACGTTCAATTCGTCTATCAAAGGACTAAAAGAGTTTTTAAACTTAGCTTTTGTCGTTTCAGGGTCTTTTTCCACCATCAGTTTTGTCTTTCCTTTCCTCACAACCCTCCATTCGCCTGTGCCTTCGTCAGACACAGGCTTTCCTTGTCTTGCGTCTTCCTCCTTCATCCTCGCAATCACTTCCCTTAATTTCAAGTTTTTGGCCTTGACCTTCACTAACTCGGTCCTCAGAAGGGCACAGCCCTGTTTACAACTAGCACTTGCCATTATTGATATTTAATCCCTGGGAACTAAGTCGGCCGTAACCTTTCATCTAGCAAGGTCAAAATAAAGCCCCTCCTTTTTCACATTATCCCCCTCTCCCTCCCTTACCTAATTGGGAACACCGAAACTGTGACGAGTTCCTCCCCCTCCCTACCCCTTTCTCCCTTTCCCCCCCCACACACACAAACACACACAAAGGGGGACAAAAAGGTTCAAGAGCCAATCAAAATGCGTTTTCTTATCTTGTCATCTCAGTAAATCACAGGGTAAAAATACTACGCTCATATCGAGACAATTTACGAGGGCGCTCCTTCACAACACGTCGACCACCATTCGGTGTCCCAGGCGAGTGTCTCCATTTTCCCCGAACCTGCATTTCCTTCCATAAATTGACTCGTTTCAGGAGTATAATAGTTTGTTCTTGTTTGCAAAGATGAAAAGTTTCTAAATTAAAAGAGGCATGGAAGGTTTTATCAACGAATTATATTTCCTAAAGGATCTTCTTGTATTTCTCACTTGCTTTTAGTGTTATGTGTTGTTGTTAAGCATGAAATACAAATGTCTGAATTAATATGAAAGAAGTATAATGTTCGGAGACGGGAGATACAAATTCTGTCAGAAAGTAATCCTGTGTCTGATAGCTTATAATGTATTTTCCTTAACGAGATTAAAGTCCATTTTAAGATACGAGTATCATTATTATGAAAGAACGAAGGTATTGACTCAAGCAGAATATGTCTTGTTACTAGTGAGTTCTTGCTTCTCTCTGTTCACCTACGAAACACAATTGTATAAATCAAAATATAGGAACCATGGTGTTAGGAGGCAGGAGCTACATGTGAGGTAAAATTTGACTTGTTTCGAGTATTTCATCCCTTATTTAAACCAAGCTATAAAGATCTACAAGGTATGCTCACGCGCAGGTAGCTGAGCAAGCGTTACGTCACGGCGACACCTCACCCCGCCAATCAGTTTTTATTTGTATGTGAGAAATGGGTAGGATTAAGCCACACTCATGTTTTTCTATAATTCTATCTAATTTCAGGATATAAGCTTCCATCCTAATGCTGCTGATGTTTTGGTAAACCGTACAAAATTACTGTATATTAAAAATATTTTCAACCCCTCCACGACGATGATCGTACTTGGCCATTTTAACCCCCTAAAATTAGTGTGTGCAGGAAATTGTGTCTAAATGTTAATTTATTCAATTATATATGATGGCTTGGTAATTTAATCTTTTTCACTATATATACTAAATTCCCAGTACATCATACAGTGAACACCAGTAGTATAATAAGTAAGTAATATTTGAACAATAACATATAAACGAAGGAATAAGTTAAGTGTTATATTGCCGGGAAAATGTCATTTAATATATTTTATTTCACTCTACTGTGATAGTGGTGATGTGTGTTACTGTTATATAGTTGTGTAGTGAACACTTATAATAGACTACTAGGTTGAGTATATTACTTATAATTAAGTATATGTAACGTATCTTGAAGTTTGTATAGATTGAATAATATTGATAATAATAACAACAATGATAATACCACCACTACTACTACTACTACTGATACTACTACTACTACTGATACTACTCCTACTACTACTACTGATACTACTCCTACTACTACTACTGATACTACTCCTACTACTACTACTACTACTACTACTACTACTAATAATAATAATAATAATAATAATAATAATAATAATAATAATAATAATAATAATAAAAATAAAAATAATAATAATAATAATAATAATTAATAATAATAATAATAATAATAATAATAATAATAATAATAGTAATAATAATAATAATAATAATAATAATAATAATAATAATAATAATAATAATAATAATAATAATAAAAATAATAATAATAATAATAATAATTAATAATAATAATAGTTAATAATAATAAATATAATAATAATAATAAAAAACCTTACTATTACCGCTACTACTACTACAGTGCTACTACAGTACTCTATTTTTTAAACGTCGCCTCCAACCTCCCCCAATAGCCACACCTTTGCCGCCATTTTATTACCTTAACATTAAATATCCAAATATAAAAGTAGCTAGCCTAGCTGTGTTGAGTTAGTTAAGCCGCAGACCTACGCGGCATTCGGTGACTGTTGCCTCATAATAATAATAATAATAATAATAATAATAATAATAAACAGTGAATGTACTGTATATGTGTGTGTGTACAGTCTAGCTCATTTCAGGTGCGGTGTTATAACAGATGGAAGTAACAGAAAATATATATAACATGAAGACAAAATAAAAGAAATTGGTACTACTGTTCTTTAAATCTAACTTGACCTGGGCAAGTAGTCAAGTCTCCGTGTGACGTCATGCGTGTGGTTCTTCTCTCGGTCAGCACACCTTGTATATCTTTTTACATTGATTGAAAATATAATCATCGTACACACATGTCCAAACTACGACATATTTCTAAGCTTATAAAATACGACTCACTCACACGACCGAGTTATTTATTTGTATTAAAAATTTTATTTGACATCCGTTTCTTGTGTTAGTGTGTCATAAATTAGCATTTTTTTACTATGCCAAATGACTATTCCAGCACCTACTCTTCACTACCTTCTACACACCTCTGCACTAACCTACTTTCAACAACTCCTTCCATCACCTATGTCTACAATACTCGGTGCCATAGTTCTAGACTCCACCGGAAAAAAAAAAATAATTTCCCAAGAGTTCTGTAATGGCTTTGGCGTTTTCACCAGTTTTATTTTTCTTATAAACCTAAATCGTCTATATAAAACAATTTCTCCTGTTAAATATTTCCCATAAATATCCGTCACTACCACCCAGACACATTCGTCTTCCTAACTCTACTCTTTCTTCATCCTCTTCTCCCCCCTTTCTCCTTCTCCAGCAGGCACCGTGCCGTCTACCACCACCACCCTGCCACCCCCTACACGCCCCCCCTCAGGTCGCTGGGGCAGTCACCCAACACACTCGGTTGGGCCACAGTTGACCCAGTGTGTGTCCAACGCCGACTGTATCTTTGAGGTCAGTAACTGTGTGTGTGTTTTTTTTAATTGTTATTAGCCTTCTATTCATTTAATTGATTTGCATCTTCACCATTCTCACCAGTGGCTTCTGTGACTATTAAATTGAATCGTTCTCATCATGCTCAGCTTCGTCGAAATCTCAGTTAGCAATATTATACTGAATACAGTACTTTGGCGTTTTTAATGACATTAGTCTTCATTTAAATAATTAGCTTCATATTTGTCCAAATAATACCAATCACCATGATCTCTCATTCCTTCCAATTACTCAATTTTTATTTTCCACTCATTCCAACAAGACATGAAACATGATCAGGAACAATACTTCACTTACTAGTCACATACCCACATCACCAATACACACCGAAATATGCAAAATTATGCAAAAATTACATTTAACCAGTTAACGTCAAAATGGCCGTCGATTTGCGGTTGTAAGAATGTCAGTTTTGAGAATTTACAGAACTGGAAATTTTAATGCGTGGATTATAGGGAGGGAGAACGGTAAAAGTAAACACTGGCTTTGTTTCTCTAGTAATACTTCTATATCAGTCCTTAAACCCACCTCTGGTTCACTGAAAGATGTTACGTACTGGAATGATTTAACAGAGGTTTTCCTGGATGGCGTGGTTATAGGGAGAAGACTTGTTATTTCTCGCTGACGATACCGTGAACTAAATCAACCTACAGCAACACTCCGCTCTCCATCCATGACTGCCACAAGCAAACCATTCAGTAGACCTCAGGAGTCTCTAAACCCCTTAAAATAATGTCCACACACCTTCCTCCCTCAACACAGTCCATCATTTGTTCAGCTCTTCCACTCTACCAATTTTTACTTTTCCCTTCTCTCCCTCCCTCCTCCCCCCCCCCTTACTAATGCCCAATAAAAATTCTTCACGATTCGCCAATTTTATTCCCAAGCACTCACACCTACCCTTCTCCCCACTTATAACAACACGTCGCTTCAATAACTATTAGTACTCGTCATCAATGCCTCACCTATATAATTCGTTCGTACAAGCATCAATACTCTGGCTACACCCGCTTCTTCACGTCACCAAAACTTCACACCATATTTATGATCTCTAACCCTCAAACATGTCACCAAAACCTTTCATATACACTATGTCACTTCCGCCAAATTTGACGTCACATGTCTATCTTTACGTCATCCAAATTTTCTCACTAATCACTTACCAAACGTCACAGCTTTCCTCTCTATCTCCTTCCTTCTCTCCCTCTCTCCCTCCCGTTCTCTCTCTCCCTTCCTCTTTCCCTCGCTCTTTCCACCAAACTTTTTTCACAAGTCATCACCAAATCTCCTGTGACTTTTCCAGAGGTCAGTATGTCGAGGTGGTGAGTGTGTGTGTGAATACCCGCGCACCTGGGGCCCCTCCGGCTGTGAGGAGACACAGGTGAGCCCATCTCTCATCAGTCGGCCTCTAATTATGGATTCTTGGGTCAAACCAGCCATTGTTTACCATAATTAACCTTCCTCTATACAACGTTGAATCCTATGACAGCATACATCTTGTTTCTATAGATCCCGAAGGTATAATTATGGATCACTTAAAAATTAAACACCTTAACATATTTCATCTAAGGGATTAAGGACTCTAACGCTAACGCACACTAACCTATCATATCTTAGCCTAACCTAGCCAAAATTACTGTACCCTAATCTAAGCTAACCTAACCTAACCTAACCTGACCTGACCTAACCTAGCCTATCCTAAACTACCGGACTCTAACTTAGTTTAACCTAACGTAAACTACCCTAACCTAATATAACTTCATCAGGTAGCATAATCCTCGGGTAAAATAAGCCTAGTGACAGCACCAGGATGCCGTTTCTTTTAATATGGTAAAAAATTTTGAAAATGGAAAGGAAATTTACTAATCTTAAGGTGATCCTATCTATCTTAATATACGCTGAGTGTACCATTCTGATAAGAGCGATGACTTCTGTGATTATTTCCATATCTAGTAATTAGGTTTCATGGAGAAATAATGTTACTACTCTTCCCCAACTGCCTCTACTATTATTCTTTCCCAACTGCCTCTACTACTACTCTTCCTCAACTGTCTCTATACTACTACTCTTCCCCAACTGCCTCTACTATTATTCTTTCCCAACTGCCTCTACTACTACTCTTCCCCAACTGCCTCTACTACTACTCTTCCTCAACTGTCTCTATACTACTACTCTTCCCCAACTGCCTCAACTACGCAATTTTATTACCTTAATATTAAATATCCTAATACATGAGTAGCTATCCTAACTGTGTTGAATTAGTTGAGCCGCAGATCTATGCGGCATTCAGTGACTGTAGCCTCATAATCAATATCAGCAGCTGTTGTCAGCTTTGGAGCCGACGCTCTCGTTCCCCTGAGGCAAAGCAAAGCCGACCGAAGGAGAGAGAACGATAGTGGACATCTGATCCAGGCTGTAACATAACTTCTAAGCTGCTGCTTCTGTTCGGAGATCACCTCCGCAAGTCTGGCGTAGAAACATCTTGAACTTGGTCCCTTCCCACCAGAGGTTGTGAACACTAGAGGAGTGAAGCTGACTTGATCAACGTTCTGAATTCTCTCCCTGTATGCCCTTATTTTGTCGTTCTTGTTCCTCCTGTGTGCAGCATCGATAGCTAAGTTACGGTGACGTGCGGCCATGGGATAAAAAATCCTGATGTCGAAGAAAGCTCGCTGTCCCAGCTTCCAGAATCCTAGAGCACTGACGTCAACATGGGCTTCGTTGGATGTGTTTGGAGTCCTATGTTGGAAGTTCTCACCATCCAATGGAAGGAGGGTCAATTCTACCATGGCATCACGGCAGATATCCTTCAACATATTTGCTGTGAGATCCCTTACTTCGTCATGCCTCATACATATGAAGAAACCTTTCTTGCACACCATGACGTGATCGACGTCATAGGAAGAGCCACACACGCATTGGGAGGGCAACCCTTCTACTGGCCCACCGTACCTTAGAGCATTTGCATCTGTAAATTCTTGTTTATTGAGACTGAAACCATTTGCCCTTATCGGTAACGTAGTTAACCAGTTCGAGGCGCCCACCTCCTGCGCTATAGCTATTTTTTTTTTTCAAATTCTCTGGTACCTATAGCAACAGTTGCTGCAACTTATCACTTTGGCCGTGCTGTCGTTCTGTCATAATGGACCTTCGAATCTTGTTTACTTCACTGGCATCTACCTACCCTGTTGCGTTTTGAGCAATTATGTGGTCCGTGAGGGCTGCCGTGAGCTTAAGTAAGTTTTGATGTTCGGTGGCAGCAATCTCCTCTGGATTGGTCAGTCCCATTCCTCCCAGTCTCGATGGTAGTGCAAGGAGTGATCTTTCTGCTGGGGTTAAGTAGGGGTGTTTCACTAATTTAGAAATGAAATTGACGCTGATAGCTTCTTCCAGAGCGTGGAGGAGGGGTCCGATATCAGGGATAGTGTGCATTAGGTGGTTCCAGTGATGTGACTCCATGGGTGAATGCTGCAAAAGCCGCATGTGGCTCTTTGTTAGCAATCTCGGACAGAGCTTGGATTTCCCTAACCCACTCATTCACCTTTCCCGTTACGTACTCGGTCTTGAAGTCGGTCGTACCAATTACTGCACCTAGGTGTCTTTGGCCATACTTTGTTATTTTGACCTCACTTCCACCGAACACCTCCATTGCCCGTTCATAAAGATCTGGCTTCACAATGAGGAAGGACTTGCTGGTGTTTGGGTGGTACCCCATTTGTGGGCCTCGTGATGTTACCAAGTCCCACCACTTTTTGATGTCCTCCACTTTCCCTGCTACTGTAAGGTCATCAGCGTACGCCACTTGGTTGACCTCAGTTGTTTCAAATTTTGTGTGTTGGAGCACGGATAGGCCTATTGCGTACATTGCCATTGCAACAGGGTCCCCCTGCATTGCTCCCTCTGTTGACTGTATGATGGTATCCCCTCTTAAAGCCTTGTTGTTTATTATATAAAGGTCTGATGGATTCCTATAAGAGTATTCAACATACATTGCAAAGCTTGGACACTTGATCTTGATGATGTGCAGTGTGGCCTTGTGGTTAAGTATGTTGAATGCATTTGAAGCGTCCACCAGGAGAACGGCCTCACAATGGCGCTGCTCAAATATCGTTCTCATGGCGTGAATGACAGCTTCCCCTCCAGCTTGTTGGCCAGCACAAACTTGCAGGTTCCCTGCTGCTGCCCTGACATCATCCTTTACCACCTCCATTATGCATTTTCCGATGATACGCCTCAGCACTTCCCCCACTCCAATTGGCATACATCCTGGATTCGTATCCAGGGGAATGGGGCGGCAGGCCGTCAGAGCATGGAGGTGTTGGCAGCAAGAGGATGCCAGCTTCCTTGTGAGGACGGCAATGGCCGTGCAGAGATCACTTGCTACGGGGCCAAAGTTGTTAGTGCTCAGGATGACTTTCCAACCGTTTGCATCCAAACCTAAAGGGCCTGCACCTCCCGGAGTCTTCAGTGCCTTTTTGCACACCATCCCTCCTGTTATTTTCTCGAACAGAATACCATTTGGTGGGATATAGGCAACCTGGACCCTGATGCCTTCTTCTTCACTTGCAGGGGGTTGTTTTTCTTTCAGTTGTTTTAATGTCTCTCTGTTTATTGGCAGAACCCCACCTGCGGATTCCTCCATGAGAGATCTTACCGCCAAAAATACTTTTCCCACACGCATTTTATTTCCAAACTTTCTTGCAACGTCATCGGTGTTTTGCTTACCGTCTCCAGTAGATTTTACTACTACAACACTTCTCCAACTGCCTCTACTAATACTCGTCCACAACTGTCTCTACTACAACTCTTCCCCAACTGCCTCTAAAACTACACATCCCCAACTGTCTCTCACAACTACTTTCCCCTAACTGCCTCTACTACTACACATCCCCAACTGTCTCTACTACTACTCATCCCCAACTGCCTTTACTGCTTCTCTTCCCCCCACTCCACTATTCTACTCTTCCCAATTGGCTCTACAACTCTTCCCCAACTGCCTCCTACTACATCCCCAACAGTCTCTACTATACTCTTCCCCAACCACCTCTACTATTACACTTCCCCACCTGCCTCTACTACTACACATCCCCAACTGCCTCCTACTAATATATTCAACAACTGCACTACTATTACATCTTCCGTGACTGCCTCTAATGCTACACATCCCAGCTGTATCTGGCTAATCTTACAACTGCCTCTGCTACCACATCCCCCACGCCTCTGCTAATATATTCCCCCAACCTCACCTCTGCTACTACACCCCCCTGCCTCGCTACACATCCCTGTCTCTACTACTACTCTTTACATCTGCCTCTCTACTACACTTCCCCAGCTGCCTCTCTGTCCCCAGCAGTCTCTGCTATTTACAACCACCTCCCGCACTACTGCCTCTGCTACTACATCCCCAACTGCCTCTACAATACTCTTCCCCCAACTGCCTCTACTATTACTCTTCCGTAACGCCTCTGTACTACACATCCCAGCCTATGTCTACGACTACTCCTTTGCCTCTACTACTGCAAACCTGGCGTATCTGCTACTATGTTGCGGCTGTCTGCTGCTGATCCCCAGATAGCACTCTGCTGCTACTGCTGCTATATTTTACAACGCTCTGCTGCTGCTGTAACCTGACTGCATCTGCTGCTGTTCTGGCTAGCATGCTGCTGCTGCTGCTGTTCCTGGCTGCATCTGCTGCTACTGCTAGCTGTTAGCAACTGCCTCTGCTACTGCTACTGCTATTCTGACTGCTCTACTACAGCCTGGCTTAGCATCTGCTACTATATTTCCTGACTGTATCTGCTACTGCTATATTTCCGGCTGCTATCTACTACTGCTGCTGCGCTATGACACATCTCTGCTGCTACAAGTGTATGCTACTGCTGCTATGTTCCGTAACTTGTCTGCTGCTATATTTTATTTCCATCTCTTTCTTACTCTCTTTCTTATTCCTCTGCCCTACTACACTTCCACAAATGCCTCTCTGCTACTTTACTACTGCTCTTCACCTTTGCCTCCACTGCAACTGTCAACTATATCTGCACTACTCTACCCGAACTGCCTCTGCTATTGCTATATTCTACTGCTACTATATTTACAACTGCTACTACTGCCTCTCTGTCCAACTACTCTGCTACTACTTCCCAACTTAGCATCTGCTATTCTATCTGCTACTGCTATATTATAACTGCCTCTGCTACTACTACAACTGCAACTGCTATATTTACCTGCTACTGCACTCTGCTCTGTCACAGCTACTTCAATATGTTGCAACTGCTATATTTACAAATAACTCAGCTATACTGATATGGCTGCTCTGCTACAGCTATACCTGACTGCACTCTACTACTACATTCCCCATCTGCTTCTACTGCTACTACTGTT